ATGTGATATCGTTTCCAGAGCCGGCCTTAAGCTAGGGCTACCAGGGCTACAGCCCGGGGCCCATAGCTGAGGGGGACACAATATTTTTTTAAGCCTATGTATATATGTGTGTATAAAAAAATTTAAAACAGAAGAAGCATGTACCTGCCGTTGGAAAATAGAAAGAGAAGCCAATCAGCCTTTATTACTCAAATCTCAATTTTCAAGGAGGAGGTAGCTGTCATTGAAAAAGAAAGTTCCTTTAATTATAGAATATAATATAAAGCAAATCATTAAATCAACAAATATGGAGGATAAAAAGCTCTCAGCCACGGTTAAAAAAACAGCTTAGCCACAAAAATTTAAAAGCCCTCCGACCTTCTTTCTCAGTTCATACACGCAAGCAATTTTTTTTAGTGATTCTCCTCTTCTCAATTCATATCACGCAAGCGACTTTCTTTGAAGATACTTTTTTTTAAGATAACATATAGAATTTAGATGTATAAATTTTGTAAATTGTAATACATATCTTTTTAACTTTTTCTTATTTATTATTTGATTCAACAAAAACATTGGTTGGGATTCTTGATCTTTATAATTGAAAGTTTCAAGTGGAAGAACATATGCTCAAAATCTAGGTTTTATTGTTCTTTGTTCTTTGTTAAGTGTTTATTATAAAAATTAAAAAATGTTTCCTAAGAAACAACTTTCCGGAAATCTCAAGAGACAAAAAAGGAAAAAAATGATGAAATTGCTCAAAGTTTAAGAGGATCTTTGAATAAATATTTCGTTAAACAAACCAATGCTTCACTAGAAAATTTAGATGAAGATTTACCAAATGAATATGAACACCCAATTCAATTGGAAGAATTAGTAGAAAATGAGAATGACGTGAATGAAGAAATTGGTGATCTAGATGAAAATGAAAATAGTGATGAACCTTTCCTTGATGAAAATGACAATATTGATGAACCTTGCCATGAAAATGAATGTCCCGAAACAAGATTTGATTTGAACATTTATGATCCACGAGTTTGGGATAATCTTGATGCAAAAATGAGAGATTTACTTGTAGAAAAAGGTCCCCTAAAATACCAAATGGGGAAACTAAGGATCGAAAATGGCTAGTGTACTCAAAGGAGTTAGATAAAGTGTTTTGTTTCTGTTGTAAGTTGTTTAAAACAATGAATTCTAGAAGTCATTTAACTAGTGAAGGAATTAGAGATTGGAAACATCTTGGTGAGAAGCTTAGACAACATGAAAGCAGTTTTGAACACCTCACTAACTTGAGGTCTGGTGTTGAATTGCAAATCAAATTGAAAATAAATCAAACAATTGATACAGAATTACAAGAGCTAATCAAGAAAGATACACTACACTAGAAAAATGTTATTGTTAGAATCATCGCTGTTGTGAAATGTCTTGCTATACATAATTTGGCTTTTCGTGGAACAAATAAAAAAATTTATGAAGATGGCTGTTGTGAAATGTCTTGCTATACATAATTTGGCTTTTCGTGGAACAAATAAAAAAATTTATGAAGATGGTAATGGTAACTTTTTAGGCCTTACATAATTTGGCTTTTCGTGGAACAAATAAAAAAATTTATGAAGATGGTAATGGTAACTTTTTAGGCCTACTTGAAATGATTGCAAAGATTGATCCAGTAATGCAACACCATTTTCGACTCATTCAAAATAAGAAGATTCATTATCATCATCTTAGCCATAAAATTTAAAATGAGTTGATAGCTATTTTAGCATCAAATGTTAAACCTGCAATCATTGAAAAAAATAAAAACAGCTAAATATTTTTCTATCATTCTTGATTGTACTCCTGATGCATGTCACAAAGAACAAATGACTTTAATATAGGTGTGTAGATGTTTCAAGTACTCCAATAAATATAGAATAATACTTTTTAGAGTTTCTGAATGTGGAAGATACATCTGGATTAGGACTTTTTAATGAATTACAAAATGTAATTGAGTTCCTTACACTTAATATTGATGATGTGAGGGGACAAGGTTATGATAATGGCTCTAATATGAAAGGAAAAAAATCTAGGTGTACAAAAAAGATTACTTGATATAAATCCTAGAGCATTTTACATGCCATGTGGTTCTCATTGTCTCAACTTAATAGTTTGTAATATGGCCAACTCATGTGTTAAAGCAAAATCTTTTTTTGGAGCATGTCAATGCATATATACGGTATTCTCTAATTCAACAAAACGATGGAATGTGTTACTTGATTACATAGATGGTTTGACTTTGAAATCATTGTTAACTACACGTTGGGAAAGTCACATTGAAAGTGTCAAAGCAATAAAATCTCAAGCTTCCCAAATTAGAGAAGCTTTATTTAAATTAACAGAAATTAGTGAAGATGCCAAATTGAGTAAGGATGCTCAAAGTTTAGCATCAGGAGAGCTTTCAAGTTTTGAATCTATAGTAAGTTTGGTTATTTGGCATGACATTTTGCATAAGATTAACTTAGTAAAAAGTTACAATCTGAAGACATGTGTCTTGATGCTGCTGTAAGACAATTAGAAGGACATGTGTTATTTTTTGAAAACTATAGAATAAATGGGTTTGTTTCTGCCATGATTGATGCTAAACAAATTTCCCTTGATATGGGAATTGAGCCTATATTTCCAAAAAAATGTTAAGTTTGTAGAAAAAGGCATTTTGATGAGGTTTCCAATAGTGATAGGGAACAATAATCAGCTGAAGAATCATTTAGAACTGATTATTTTCTTGTTATAGTGGATATTGCTCTTGGTGAATTGAAGAGTAGGTTTGAACAATTGCATTGTTTTGAATCTAATTTTGGGTTCTTATTTGATGCTGCAAAATTGACTTCGCTTGATGATAATGAATTGAAAAGTTTTTGTGCGAATCTTGAAAATGCTTTAAAACATGGTGATGTTTCCGATGTTGATGCAAGAGACTTATTTTCAGAATTACAGGTGATGCAAGTGATGTTACCAAAAGAAGCATATGAAACAGATAAACCATGGACATCCATTAAAAATCTTGAGTTTGTAAAGAGTGTAGATATGTTTCCTAATGTAATGGTTGCTTATAGGATATTATTGACTATACATGTGACTGTGGCATCTGCTGAAAGAAGTTTTTCTAAATTAAAATTATTGAAATCTTACTTGCGGACCACCATGACTCAAGATAGGCTAAATGGATTAGCGATATTATGCATTGAAAAGGATATGTTAGAGAACATTAAATATGATAGTATAATTGATGATTTTGCATCTAAAAGTGCAACAAGAAGACATTTTAAATGATGTTTTGTAGTTGAGATTTCATTGATGTTTTTATTTTGTAGGTACATGTGATGATTCTTTGCTTCGATTAATTATGGATGATGAAAAAAAGATTGATCAAATCAAAGAAATGCTTATGGAGATTTGGGAGGAAGCATGTAGACTCAAATATGTAGTTTTCGTTTTTTAATGCAATGTTTACAATCCGGGGTACTCTTTTTCCTTCGTTTGGGGTTTTGTCCCATTGGGTTTTCCCCAACCAAGGTTTTAATGAGGCCCCAAAGTGTTTTTCCTTGTCTTTTGTAAAATCTTATAATTTTAATAAAATTAATTAATTGATAATTTATTTATTTGTTTGTTTAATTTGTATAAAGGGGCACACTTGAGAAAATTTGCCCTGGGCCTTAGAAAACCCAGGACTGGCTCTGATCATTTCGTCCGCTTACAAGGTGTTGTTTTGTGCCTTTAAGAGTAGTTCATCAATTTCTCATTATATATAAAGGAGGGATAGTTACCCATAATAAATACAAGTATTTTATCTATGCTCACACGGATGAGTCTTAAATGGTGTTCCCCTCAAGTTTGAGCATATTATAAATAATCTCATTCTACTTTGAAAATTAGAGAAACCCTCCTCAATTATGGGGTGTCTCACGAAACCTCCGTTTATCTTTCGCACTTTTCTTACCTAACCCCCCGACATTATTTCAAAATGCAAATTAATTAAAATATCCTTTAAAAATCAACTCATTCAATTACAAAAAAGTCCCCCATCGATAAAAAAAAGATCTTGGTTAACTTACAATTCTTTTTTTTTTCTTCTTCTTTCTACTCTCTTTCTCTAATCCTAAAAAAAATAGAGTAAATTTTTTAGGATTAAGGTGTATTTTTGTCTCTCTTCAGTCCCCTACTTGCCAATGAGGATTCTCAAATTAAAATAGTTGAGGGGTTCTCTCGGACACACCTCATATTTGAGGGGGAATAAGTGAGAAAAGTTATGGGGAATATCTCAAATTTTCATAGTTTAGGGGGGTGGGGGTGGGGGTGGGGTGGGGCTCATATTTGAGGGGGAATAAGTGAGAAAAGTTATGGGGAATATCTCAAATTTTCATAGTTGTGGGGGTGGGGTGGGGGGGGGGGTTATTTACAATATATGCTCAAACTTGAGGAAGATTTTCTCGAGTCAAAATAATTGAAGGGGTTTTACAAAATTGACCCATGATTTTATGTTGAGATCTACAAGTTTTTTCTTTAATGTCTATATTTAAATATATGATTATGAGATTTTTTTTTTTAAAGAATATGAATACCTATAATTTGATTAGGAGTGTTTACTTGTGTAGAGAGATACATGTATACTTATTATATACAACATATATCACTTTTTTTATTTTTATGATATGACACATGTCAAATTTTTTTGTGTATTTAAGAGTTCTACTAATTTATCCTTATATACAATGGGGGGATCATCACCAAGTTAACATAGCAACATCCAAAGGTAAGAAACTCATATGGACTTCACATCGTTCTTCATGGATATGAAATCATATGGACAAGATTAGAGTTCAATGGAAATTACAAGCAGTTTACCATACCAAAATCACAGAACCAAATGGTTTTCCGCAAGGAGCTTATGCAGAGAACTTAGTGCTTAAACATAGTGAAACTAACATGCATACACAAACATTTTAAAATTTTCATGCGTCAAAAAATAATCAATGACACATGAGAAATGTGTCACCATAACAAATAATATGAAATAATAAAGAGTCATTTCTCTTACATCAGCCATCAAAACTTTTTAGGAAGAGCAAAAGCTTTTCTAATAATCATAAAAATTAGCTGCTTGTCATCTCTCTTCATTTGACATTCTAGCAAGCAACGGTCAATCTTACAGGATCATATCAGGATCATATCAGGATCATATAGGCTACAAACTATATCAATCACTCAAAATCTCTGAAAACTCAACAGTGGGGGAAAAGGTAAATTATGTCAGCTGTAATCAATGTCAAATCTGTAGAACTTCAAACTAAGGAAACTAATATTGAGCTCATCAGCCTTGTTGAAGGCTCTCAATAGCCTTCTTCCATTGCATTGCTCGCTCTTTTGGATCTTCAAACGACAACACTTTCTTTGGCTACATGAATAAAATGTAAACTCAACCATGAGATATTTATAGCTAAGACATCAAAAGACATAAGAGGAATTATTAATAAAAATTACGTACCGTAGAAATTTTAAAATGTGAGGGGTCTATAACTTGAATGCTGAGGTTGCTGGGGGGATCGGACCAAATGATGCTATTTTTGTTCATCATTTTTGAAGGATCAACACAAATCAACTTGGGTTTGTCAGTGAGGATGAGCTGTACCTTTTTATTATTTAATGTCTGTAATTTTTTCAGCTTTGATATCATAACAATGGACTCCCCAGATTCAAGAAATTCATTCCTGTCATTAGGACAAATAATATAAACCATGGGTGTTACAGGAAAAGGAAGAATGTAACTTCAAAGGAAAAAAAATTACAAATCGTGCATTAATAGAACATGAAAATGAACATAAACAAGAAAGAAAATAAGGGAAATCTTTTTTCTTGCTTCTGCACCTCCTTTCACAATTTTACTCCTATGATGTTCTAAAGTAAATTTCAGACTGAAGGATGCAAGTTCCGGAAATTTTTTCCCTTAGTACTATGGATGGTAAAATGGTTTCATGATGATTTAAACAGCAGCAAAACATGTAGATGATTACGCAATCATGTACAACATTATGCCAAAGAAAATAAAAAGAAAAAGAATCATGATGGCAATATCAGTTTCAGGAACTTAAAATAGCATCACCAAATTAATCATATTATAATAATTTAATTAAGGGGAAACGATCAACATCCTGAGGGGAAAATGTGTCCAATAATATTATAATGCTTTAATTTTGTAAATTTCTGGATGAAATGTCAGGAAAAAAATAAAAATAAAAATAAAAAAGTCTTCCATAAAATAAAAACCATAACACACAATAGCCACTTGGATGATAGGATTCTCCAATTTATATAAGTTAATACTCGAGTATGTGTTCCAAATTCATGGCTAACGAAGAACTTCTGAAACTTCTTAAAACTTTTCATTGTTAATGAACAATTTGAGTAATTGAAATTAAATAATTGCCTAAAACTTTCAGTATTATTATGTTGTGTATACCATCTCGAGTCAAAAGAGTCTATCTTAGCAAGTCCAGAAATATGAGATGGTGATTCAGAAGATGATGGAGCACCAAGATTCCGATCCTGAACGGTCTGCTGCTGAAATGGGCCACCTCCTATATGTGACAGATTCCAAGTAGAATCCTGAACATAGCCATCTTCACTCTCCTGGGAAAAAAAGAGAGATTGATATTTTTATCCATTTAAGTTGTACTTATAGCAGATTTAATTGGAATGTATTTCATAAAAAAAATTAAGAGTAGTACATTAGACACTCGAGCAAATGCTGGGGCTGCTGACTGGTGTAAATTTTTCCAGTTGATGCCCTTAAAGAAAGGGTGTTTCTTGAGGGCAGCATAACCTCCAGGTCCAGCACCCAGTCTTTTAGTAGGCTCCATGTCCTGCAATAAATGGAATGAACATAGAAAGTATAACATCTAGTTTTTCTACATAGATATAGTTGTTCAATTGAATGTTTTAGGAACTTATGACTATGCAAAGGTTTTGCTGCGTGTCAAGTTTATACCTGGGCTTTCACCATAAAAGAGGAAAACATTAACAGATGAGAAAAAGAAAAAGCAATCAGCAGAATTCCAGTGCTTTGCACATTCATCTACAAAATAGAGCTTATCTATTTCTCCGTGATCAGGAAATAAATAGCACATTTACCTAGAGCAGAAAATTTGTTTGCATGTGTATTATCTGAGAGACTAGTTAGCTGTTACCCTACAGTTAGTTACCTAGATTAGAAAGGATGATGCTGGGGCTTTGCAATCAAAAAGTCAAGCTTTTAAAAGAGAGATGCTTGACGTGCATACTAGAAACAGAGGGGTAAAAACAGAAGAAACAGACAAGAGATGAATAGACGAAAAGTGATATCAGAGTGCATTCTCACCACAAGGTTCACCTCAAAACCCTACTCTGTGTCATTGAATAACAGGTTTCAATAGACATCCCTGAAAGTGGTAAAAGCTAAACTAAATCTTTATCATCAAGTAATAAATTAGCAAACCTGAAATAAATGTCAGATCTGACTAAAAAAATCCAAAACATTACCACGAACGGTAATCCTGAAATGTGCGAGTCCAAGAGAATATCTTTCTTTGACTCCTATAATCAATTTGATCTTATTAGATGACATTTACCTTCAATTCAGTAGCGGATGAAGGATTTCTCAAAAGTGGTATCACTATACAATTAGTAAGGCAAATTCCACAAAACTCCCAAAAACTTTGGACGTTCCCCACAAGAGCCCTCTGGACTTTGTTTTCCCATTAAACCCTCAGAACCTCCCCAAAAAACCCCCAAAACTCCATAGAGTCTCAAATAACCCCCCAAAACTTTCAAAATTTCCCACAAAACCCAACAAAAAAAAGCAAGGAAAAGATGAGTCCAGAATAAAGCAAGAAAGGGGGGAAAAGTGGGTAGTAATAAGGTCCTCCAATTGCTGGAGATATTTTTGGGCCTTTTGTGGGAAAAGTTGAAAGTTTTACCGGGTTTTTTTGAGACTCTTTGGAGTTTTGCTGGCTTTATGGGAAACTTTTGGGGGTTTGGTGGAGAATCAAAGTTTTTTGGGGTGAGCGTGTGTGTCCCA